TAAATCTTGATGAATCTCTCATATCTTAACTAGTTTTACTTTTTCACTATCCTGCAGAAGTAACCATACCTAAGAGCATCTTCAATAAATGGTCCAAATTTTGAAAGTCCAAAACTGAAGATGTAAAATTTGGACCGCCAAAAAATGCGTTTGGAGCTCTGTAAAAAGGCCAACTCCAACAGATGGTCCAAATCTCATGGTGCAAAAGACCAACTCCAATAAATGATCCAAATTCATGGTCCAAAACCGACCATCAGCCGCGCGTCTGCTGTTCAGCCGCTGTGCAGCCACTGTACAGCCGCACATATTGCATAAAACATGTTTTGAAACAACATAAAAAAATTTCATGTCCACAATATTAAATTATTACATAGTTCTTCAGATCCAGGAGATGAAATGCAACACAAATACAATATAGTTTTGCACAATACAACATAGTTTTGAACAAACAAATAATGAATCAAATTCCTCGTCCGACGATGAATCATCCACGAAAGAGGAGTCAACTGAGCTCATCTACATTGCACCGTCAAACATACTATCCAATCCCAAGTTAAATCATCAAGTTTCGTCATTTTTTTACCTTGGGGAATTCCGTCGAACACCTTGTGCGCGCGGTGGAAGGAGATGGCCGCCGGTTGGATTGGCTGCTGCGGACGGCTGCGGTCGGCTCTGGACGGCGGCGGTGATAAGAAGTGAGCTTCGAGGCCGGCCAAGAGGAGCTCGGCGGGCGGCGAACAATAGTTCGGCAGCCGGGGCAGAGGGCTTTGTGCGGCGGTCGTGCAGCCGGCGCAACGGCCGTGAACAGGCTCACGGCCGACGGGGACGAGGTCGGCGGCAGCCTAAGACCCGGTGGAGGCCTACCGCGGCAGCCGGAGGCACCGAATCCCGCATCGGCTGCCTCCCGATTCGGCGGCGTCCGGGCGGCTGCGAGCCGGCTACCGGCGAGGGAGGCGACGGTGGCGGGGATTTGGGGTGGTGGCGGCGCCGACGGCGTGGTTTTGGGCGATCGCGGCGGCGGATTCCGGCCGGCTGTTCTTCGGGCGGGCGGACAGGCGCGGGCGGGAACGGAAAGGAAGTGATGGTTGGGCGTTCACGGGCGGCAACTGGTTTTGGACCAGATGCACCTCGTGATGTAAATTTGCACTGCGAGGTGTTGCATTTTACATCATGAGGAGGCCACGGTCCAATTTCTTTTGCATATGGACCGTCTGTTGGAGCAGCGGTTTTTGCCCGAGACGGTCCAAAGTTATGTATTTTTACATTTGGACCATCTATTGAAGATGCTGTAAGAAAGTTGCAGTGGGGTCCTCCAGCAAACGAGGAGTTGCTTCATCGACTATTCAGAGGTTATACTGTGGATGGAAGCACAATCTTTGTGCGAGATGATTATGGTCAGAATCAAGGGCAATTCCTTGTAAGCTTGTCACCCCAAGATTTTCTTCGGTGTGTTTGTTGTGAGAAAGCGACACGGAACGAGGCAACGAGCTTGTTTAACTCGCTATATGTGAACGATCTCATATTAAAGCTCAGCTCGACTCGTTAGTCATCAAGTTCGAGTCGAGTCACGAGCTGCTCACTTATGTCACGAGTTTCTAGTTAAGTTCCTGCCCTATGCTTCCTGATAGCTGAGCATAGTCTGTAAACAAGCATGCAGGGCATAATAGCACTTTCGGTCTGTTAAGTCATCCAACCAATATCGAAACAACACATGATTTTTACATATAACGGTGCAATTTGTATGGACTTTTTTCTCTGTGTGTGTGAAAAATTCAGACGACGTTTTAGATGATCAATTTCTGTGCGGGGATTCGCCAAATGATTTGCCTATAACAGTCTGCTTTTCAGAAACCATGCCTTGGATTTAGGTCTTTTTTTCTAGTGTGTGATTTTTGTAGAACTTGGATTCCATCAATGTTTTGTTTTTCCCTCTTTATATCCACGGCCGGGATGATAGTAGTAGCGTATTCTTATGGATGGATTTTATATTCACTCC